AGGAAATATCTCATCTCCATCCTAAAGGAATGCTGGTTGTTGATGGCCCTTTAAGTTGGTTATTATTCTACATTATTGCTGTGTAAATAGTATTTGTTGTTTTAGTCTTCTTTTTCTAATTGAGCTGGTATCTTTTACTTTGATAGAAATCTTCCAATTGGGTATAGTTCCAGAAAATACCTGGTGTATGTTTATGGGGTTTTTTTATGGTTTTTTTTTTTAATGTTTCAAGTTACTAAACTATTAAAAATGCAATACAGAGATTTAGATTCACACTTATCATAGGCAATTGAAGCTTTAGAAATTCAAAAGTAATGTAAAAACTCTTTTTTTTTTAAAGTAAGAGTGATGCAACACAAAAAATGATATAATTTATGTAAAAATGCAAAAGAATTATTAAATTATAGAGAAAAACAGTGATCACATGAGTACTTTTGGCATTCAAAGTAAAACAAGAATCTAAATCATCGTACTCATGTTTCATCAACCAACATTACTCTATTTGACTTAAGAATCTAAATCTTGCTCCATGACACAGAATGTGGAATCGAAAAAGTTTTGGCTCTGGAATCTGAAATCCAGACACTTGGAATCTGGAATCTAATGAATAAGAGGAATCCATATTCCAAAGTAGAGACTTTTATAAAATGTTTTCTAAATTTTATTGACAACAAAAAAGTGTATGGWGTCCATAGAAAACCTTTCATGGAATCCAGGAGCTTTGAATCCAGAATCCCTGATTGCTCTGGATTCTGTGTCATGGGGAGATAAATCCTCTTTGACTAATGACATTTAATATAAGTCTATCTTAGATCAGCTAATGTCATCTTTATTGGTTGTCTATATGTACATTAACACTCATGTCCATGTTACCTCGGGTCCCTTAGGCTCCCTTACAAATGAGGGGGGGCGGTTTTTTTATAATGCGGGCCTAAATTAGATGTTTAACTAAATTAGTTCAATGCACAGGTATAGTGTGTGAGAACTGACTGCTAGAGTGAGCAGTTCACAACATCAAAAATTAAAAGAGAATAAAAGAGAAACACTGGACCTTGTAAGCTTGGGGGGAGGGGGGGGTACAATGGGTCTGTACATGTACATGGACAGTGCAATATATACTATGGACACTCTAGACAATAATTGCAACTATTAGGGCCACCCCGGGGGGGGGGGCGGGGATACTCCCATATATTTGCTATACGGTGACATGCCGCTGGCCAGGGTATGGTTTATGGTTTTTGGCCTTGCTGCCTTAAACAGGGTATACATTTCATTAAGATAAAATACCGATATTATCTTTTTCTGTGTTTTGGACATGGTAATATTTTCATAAGAAATACCGTTTCACTGTAGGGATTAACGTGCTATCAAAAACTACTTATTGTCTTTGATCAATGTCAATATAATTGCAGTTTTGATGGTTGCGGCGTAGATAGCGATTCCTTATTTTTCCGATTTGTCTTGAACAGGGTATGGATTTTTACTTTCTAGTGTCTTAAACAGGGTAAGGGTTTTAGACCGCTGGCGGCAAGTACCTATCCAAAACGGGGGCGAGTACCCCACCAACCCCCCGGGGGGCCACCATGGACACTGTGGACACTTTGGGCAAAATGTTTATATTCTAAGCAGTGTATATAAATTTGTTTAGGTGCCAAACAAAACATTTGTGTTTTTTCATTCTTGAAAAACTATAGAATGATTCCATAAGTCAGAGTATTGCCTCCTCGATTTTTCAGTTTGTTGCTACCTGTGAGCAACAAAAAATATCGACAGAGAGGGAACTGTTACCGACTTATGGAATCGTTCTAAAAGCTCGTCTGCGTAGTGGCTCTAGGGGAAGGGGGAAAACGAAAGAAGAGCTGGGTCGAGGAAGGAAGTTTTTTTCTCCTACTCCCCAGACCCCGCCCCTCCTCCCATTTACCCCTACGCAAGCTACAAATAAAACACGATATCTTCTCAAACACCCAGAAATGATGGTACTGTAGTCGGTCTCTCTGAATGAATTAGAGTTGATTTTGAATCACTTCGGTCATGTCAGTCYCGATTGTCAGTGGCGGATCCAGGATCGAGCATAAAAAAATAAAAAATAAATAAAATGAAAACGCATCGTACACAATTGCATCCGAAAGGGTGAAGCTGGCTTATATCCCGGGGGGCTTATATCTTACTAGGTAAGCGGCTTTATATTACACTTTTACCACATGGCTGCAATGTACGCACAAAGAACTGTAAAGCGTTTTGAGACTTAAGAGATGCGCTATCTAAAACTACATTCACGTTACATTTGCTACAGTTCGAGAGGCACTGTAAAAAAGTTCGCTTTAGGAAAATGCGAAAACAAGGTGGAACCCYCCTTTGAAAAATCCGCCACTGATTGTCCATTTGTCCACAAAAACAAAAATCCATTTGTCCACATTAGTCACTATAGACAGCTCGGTAATTTYCAGGACTCAAAACTCAGAGGCGGCAGTTCAAATCCAAGTAGGTACTCACCTACCTCCATGATTGTTCTTTACAGGGAAAAAATTAGAACATTTGAAGCATATAAGTATACGAAGCCGTCAAAAGCAGTGCAGTCTCACGTTTACAGAAAGTGAGTGAGTGAATGACGCATTTATATAATTTGTCCACGGCTCAACATAAATATCAGACGCTTACGCGGTCTTCGAATTACGGCAATTTTCACTACCATGAGAACTTTTTATAAATAAATACTTTGTCAATTTAGCAAATATGCTACTGTCTAGAACAAGAATATATAGGTGTGTACATATATCAGATATGTTTGAAAGAATATTCAAAAACTTACTAATTATTCATGAGGTATTCAGCCAATCCCTGTTTGTAATTTGTACCACGTGAAGTAACTTGAAACCAGAGGAAGTACTCGTACCTTGTATTCTACCTTATTTCCAGTTACTTCTACCTTTTTCAAGTTACTTCTACATTATTTCCAGTTACTTCTACCATGTTTCCAACTACTACTAACTAATGATAATCAAATTATTAGAAATAATCAGTTTAACATNAGCAGTGTATATAAATTTGTTTAGGTGTCAAAGTCTTATAACAAAACATTTGTGTTTTTTCATTCTTGAAAAACTATCGGACTGATTCCATAAGTCAGAGTATTTTTCGGTTTGTTGCTACCTGTGAGCAACAAAAAATATCGACAGAGAGGGAACTGTTACCGACTTATGGAATCATTCTAAAAGCTCGTCTGCGTAGTGGCTCTAGGGGAAGGGGGAAAACGAAAGAAGAGCTGGGTCAAGGCAGGAAGTTTTTTCCTCCTACTCCCCAGACTCCGCCCCTCCTTCCATTTCCCCTTCCCCCCTACCCTTGAGCCGCTACGCAAGCTACAAATAAAACACGATATTTGCTCAAACACCCAGAAATGATGGTACTGTAGTTGGTCTCTCTGAATGAATAAGAGTTGGTTTTGAATCACTTCGGTCATGTCTCGATTGACTCAGTGGCGGATCCACGGGGGGTTCCATGGGTTCCTAGGAACCCCCCCTCGAGCATAGAAAAATAAATCAAATAAAATGAAAACGCATCGTACACAATTGCATCCGAAAGGGTGAAGCTGGCTTATATCTTACTAGGTAAGCGGCTTTATATTACACTTTTACCACACACAGAACTGTAAAGCGTTTTGAGACTTACATATTATCTAAAACTACATTCACGTTACATTTGCTACAGTTCGAGAGGCACAGTAAAAAAGTTCTCTTTAGGAAAATGTGAAAACAAGGTGGAACCCCCCTTTGAAAAATCCTGGATCCGCCACTGATTGTCCATTTGTCCACAAAAACAAAAATCCATTTGTCCAGAGGCTGCAGTTCAAATCCAAGTAGGGGAGTAACTATAGAATACCCCGCATAAAAAAAGCACCCTATGATTTGATATCAGTTACGCGTCAAAAATAATCTCTCGGCATACCTGTGTGTATAGACTTATAGATATCTTTTAAGAACGAGAAATTCTGATATGAAGTGGCTACGCGTTAACGCGTCAACGCGTCAAAAATGATCTTATGGTATACCTGTGTCTATAGACTTATAGATATCTTTTAAGAACGAGAAATTCTGATATGAAGTGGCTACGCGTCAACGCGTCAAAAATAATCTTATGGTATACCTGTGTGTATAGAATTATAGATATCTTTTAAGAACGAGAAATTCTGATATGAAGTGGCTACGCGTCAACGCGTCAACGCGTCAAAAATAATCTTATGGTATACCTGTGTCTATAGACTTATAGAGAAATATAAATTGCATACGAATAAGCTACGTTTGTTTAGAATGTGTAGAATCTTATATTTTCAATTAAAAATATTGAGTTTTAAAAATATTTGGTAGATTTTGTACGCGTTGACGCGTAGCCAAAAACCAAAAAAATGTCTATTAGTAAGGCGGCTACGCGTCAACGCGTAGCCAGCTACGCGTCAGTTGTCCGAGGTGCGGGGTATTCTTTGTACGCAAGTGTACGCAAGTAGGTACTCACCTACCTCCATGATGGCCAAAAAAGTGTTGAATTGTTCAAATTAATGATAAAAGTATGAAACTTGGCAGGATTATTGAGTTCGTCGACCTGAACAATTCTGGATATGGAGACACCTCGAAATCACACTTGATGGGGAATACTGAGCATGCTCTAACATCGAAACGAGGCTTATAAAACCCGCACATATTTTACCAAGAAATAAATAAAACTAGAAGTAAATAAGATATTTTATTGATACTTGTCTCAAAAAGTAAGGATTTCTAATGATATTATTCAATGACTTGACAGACGTAAATGCGTTGCTATGCTGTTCTTCGATCTCTCCGCTGCCTTTGATACCGTTGATCACTCAGTTCTTCTAAATCGTCTTCGTTATAAGTTTTGTGTCTGTGGAAGTGCTCTTCAATGGTTCAAATCGTATCCTCTCTAATCGCTATCAATTTGTATCAATAGATGATGCTCTCTTCCGCTAAGTTGTGGTGTCCCTCAAGGCTCCGTCCTGGGCCTGGTTCTCTACAATTTTCCTCTACACTTCTCCTGTCGCTTATATTCTCCGAAAAAATAAGATGTCATTTCATTTCTATGCTGATGACACTCAAATCTACATTCCTTTCTCCTGTAATGATGAAAACGCTCTAGATGTTGCCTTAAACAATATTAAAGCTTGTCTCGGCATGATATTGATCTATGGATGACTCTCAACAAACTGAAGCTGAACTGTCTTCGAAAGGGTCAAGTTTAAAATCCTTCTTCTAACTTTTTTTGGATCCTATTTTTGATCAAGACAAGCGTGCCGCACTGCTCAAGTATAAGAGAGACCCGCCAGAAACGATGCCCAGAAGACCACTCGACGCTGCGCCAATGCTTACTGGCTGACCTTATAACAATTCTCCCCTGATTGTGGCAACGTCTGTGGAATGTACGAGGAATGTACGTGGAATGTACGAATGCGCTCCCCCCAAGCACTGTGAAGATTGCGCCGGTGAAGTCTGCCTCAGGTGACATCATCACGGATGGTGGAAAGCAGATGGAGAGATGGGCAGAGCAGTACCAACAGCTGTACTCCTGGGAAAGCATCGTTACCATAGCAGCTGAGAGCATCAACCTCCTACCAGTAATGGACGAACTTTATGACCCACCCTCCCTCGAGAAGCTCAGCAAAGCCATCGACACCCTTGTCAATGGCAAGGCCCCAGATAGTCATGGCATCCCACCTGAAGTCATCACTACTGCTTCAGTGCTGGGTGGAAGGGTCGTTGGACCTCGGGACATGCGAGACGCCAATATCACAACGCTGTATAAGAAGAAGAGAGAAAGCAGTGACTGTAACAACTACCGCGGTATCTCCCTGCTCAGCATCGTCGGCAAGGTCTTCGCATGTGTGGTCCTAAACAGACTGCAGTCACTCGCAGAACGTGTTGAATCCTTGAGTCTTGATTGGTCAATTGGATGTCCCTCAAAGTTTTAGAGTGGCTCATCACAACTTCAAGAAGTCAATCCGAAGCAAAATTTATTTTTTCCGCTTGTATTCACGGAGCTAACATCTTTGAATATTGGAAAATGTCGCCAGTCAGTAAATTTGTTTATGTCGGTAGTCAGCAAATTTTGTTCAAATTTGTCGCTAGTCAGTAGTTATTTTTGTCCATTTGTCGCTAGTCAGTAGTTATTTTGTCCATTTGTCGCTAGTCGGTTAACCCCATTCAGACCCTGAAAGGCGTTTGATCTGGTCAGCAGGAGTGGCCTTTTCACGATACTTCAAATGATCGGATGCCCTCCCAAGCTTCTAAAGATGATAGTTTGATGAGAGACTCTGTCAGGTACGACGGCTCATCTTCAGAAAGAAGACTAACATAATGAGCCAAGACGTCAGCAGCATCCCCCGCATATCGATTGTGGAAGTGGTGGATGACTTTACATCTGGGCTCCACCCTATTGAGCAAACTCTCATTGAATACCAACACCATGCTAACCACAAACACTAAGATGCGAGTGTACCAGGCCTGCGTTCTGAGCATGCTGCTCTAGGGCAGTGAGTCGTGGACGCTGTACACCCGTCAGGAGCGGAGACTAAATGCCTTTGGCCTTTGCAGTCTCAGAAGGATCCTGGGCATTACATGTACCTGACAGGACCGCATCCAAACAAACATGTGCTTTCAAAAGCAAATATCCCGAGCATGTTTGCCCTCCTCTCCCAGAAACGTCTTAGCTGGCTCGGCCATGTCATATGCATGCAGGATTGCCGAAATTCTTTAAGACATTCTGCATGAAGAGCTTGCCTCTGGCACCAGACCAATCAGCAGACCCTCACTCATATTCAAGGAAGTCTGTAATAGAGACCTGAAATTGGGCAACATCCACCCTGCCAAACTTGAATCCACGGCTGTTGATCGAGAGGTTTGCTGAGCTACTTTCTCATATTGATGATTTTCTTGAAACGAAGATCTCGATGTACTTTTAAGCTTAAAAGCTTTCTGAGTTAGCAATTTTTTTCACCACAAAAAGCAACAGGAGCTTGGAATTACTGATGGGAATGTCAACAAAACAAGATTCAAAGATCAAATCTTGAGAGCTTTTCCTAACTAGAAGTCAGTCAAAAGTGCAGTTACAAGGCATGCAAATAATTTTTCTCCATAAATTCAATATTTTATAATAATGATTAGACATCCAAGTTAGATGGTAGGATTTAGTACATCTCACTATAAAGTCAGAACAGATAACAAACATATTATAAAACCATTCTAAGACTTAATAAGTAAAAAGTTAAACAGATTTGTGGATTTCTAGTTTAAAATAAAACAAGAGGATAAAAACAGTTTTTCGCCACATGGATCCCACAAATTTCATAAAATCATCACCTTATAGATCACGTGACTTACTTTTTGAGACAAGTATCAATAAAATATCTTATTTACTACTAGTTTCATGTATTTCTTGGGAAAATACGTGAGTTGAGATGTTTAAGCGGGTTTTATATCCTGAGCCTCGTTTCGATGTTAGAGCATGCTCAGTATTCCCCATCAAGTGTAATTTTGAGGTGGCTCCATATCCAGAATTGTTCAGGTCGCCGAACTCAATAACCCTGCCAAGTTTCATACTTTTATCATTAATTTGAAAAATTCTGCCATTAACAGCCGTTACAGGGAAAAATTGGAACATTTGAAGCGTATAAGTATACAAAGCATAAGACCACTTGACCATTTTTACCATGTATTATGTATTATTTCCAAAACTGAGTGCATACAAATTTGAACATTGTTTTATACAATAAACAGGTTTTCGTTATTTTTACGCTTATGATAACAAAAAAACGGTTTTATACCCTAAACAGCTAGCCCTATTGACATTAACAAACTGTGCATGGCTCCTATTATTGACACACTCTTGATGTCACGAAATTGTCAAAGCGAGCGTAGCGAGCACTGCAATTTGTTCTAAAGCCCAGAGAAAATCATTCTTTTGTTTCGTGGTGGTGTGTCAGGTCATATCCAATCAGCCAATCAACGCGCGAGAATTTAAAACGCTGTTTCCTGTGTTGTGACGAATTGCGTAACATCTCGTCACATGACTAGACACTTGTGCCTTGTGCATTCATCGCAGTAGGATTTTGCGATCTGGAAGTATTAGCAAAGTTTAAGGAATTCCCGTCTAAACTATATCCGTTATTGTTTGTGTTTACCATGGAGAATCTAGTGATCAAGATCGTGGTTATATTTTGTTTGTTCTTCCTCACTCTTCTCGCAGCACTGCTTCCATTCAAGGTCGGTCACGCAGGACATGGAGGACGAAGACAACTTATCTTGTCGTATTGCAACTGCTTCGCAGGCGGAGTTTTCCTTGCAACAAGTTTGCTAGATCTACTGCCAACTATAGAGGAGGAATTTAAGGCAGTTTTTAACGACTCTGGAATTGTGACAGTATTCCCAGTGGCTGAATTCACAACGTGTATGGGTTTTTTTATGGTTTTGCTACTCGAACAAATCGTTCATACTTTTCACGAGCGGTCGTTTTTGCATAGCCATAATCATGACGTCAAAGCACCGCTACTAAAGGGACAGAAAGAAGAAAGACGCAGCTACATGCACAGCGAAAGTAACGATACATTCTCTACGCGACAAACATCATGCGATTCACAAAACGATATTTTTCTCAAGAAAGAGCAACAGGTCGAAGGATCCATTCGTACGTATATTCTTGTTCTGGCTCTATCGATGCATTCCATATTTGAAGGGCTGGCATTAGGTCTGACAGTGGAAGTAGATCGTCTTATTCAGATTACTGTGGCAATATTGATTCACAAATCTATAATTGCATTTGCAATGGGAGTCAGCATGGTA